GTTAGTACCGGTATTAATTTGATAAATGCCCCGTTTTCTGATAACGCCGGTAGTGTTGGTAGTGCGCGAAACGGTAGGGATAGACGTCAAGAGGATCTAGGGTATTTTCCTTTCAATTTTCTGAAGAGCACGCCTGCTTGTTCCAGTGCCACAATATCTTTGGGTAAGTTTATTTTTTAATATTTTTACAGTGTTGAAAAAATAAAACTTTTGAACTAAATCAGAGATTCTGATAATGACTGATTGTCTTTATTATTGACATTTTGAGAAAAATGCATTCTTCATAAATATGTTTGCTTCTTCTAAAATTGTTAATCCCGTTTATACTTTTCTAAACCTCCATGCCGTTTTAGGGAAGATTAGGAAAGATATGAAATATGATATGGTTGAATTTTTCAACCATATTTTCATGTTTTTTTTTATTTTCTCTAAAACGGTATGGAAATTTGGAAAAGTATAAACTGCATTACGCATTTTAAGACAAGGAAACATTTTTTATGAAGAATGCACTTTTCTGAAAATGCGAATAATAAAAAAGTTTTTCCTCGTGTAAAGACAATTCATGGTCATACTGTATAGGGTGTCGCAGTTTCTTGTATTGTATAGGGTTTAATGGTGGCCTGTCAAAATATACCATTTTGATCAGGGTTGGCATGATTTAAATCAAATGATTTAAATCATGATTTAAATCGTGATTTTTTAAATTTTAATCATGTGATTTAAATTAAAAAAAAAATTATTGAAATTTTATATAAATCAAAAAATAACTGTAAATGTTATAAAAATGTGTTCTAGAAACCTATAAAAAATATTTGTATAACATATACAGGGTGTCCCAGAAATAAGTGCAAATATTTTAACAGGTATTTTAATAGGAACAATACTGTATTGTTTTATTAGGAGTAAAAATTATACTTTTTTTGACGATGCTGTATCTTTGAAGGACCATCGTAAAGCTATTCCGACGTTATAGGGAGGCACAAAAAGTACATTCTTACTCTGAATAGAACATACTATTTTTTTAAACATTACAAATAATTTTTTAATCAGTTTCAAACATTGCAAATAATATAAACAGTAATCGAGCAACAATTTGTACACTCGTTGAATTTGACACTTACTATCAGTTTAATAATATATTTTTGTACTTTTGTGCTTAGGCGTAACAGTGCTTTACTTTTATGCCTAGACGTTAAAATGAGAAAAATTAATACTTTTGAGACGTTTGAAAAAAAATCCTTTTGATCTGAAGCGAGCGACTTTTTTTGCGGAATATATTGGTGACCGATGTGGAAAAATCACACGCCCTGTAGAATTTTATTGTTAATGTTATCATATTTTTAGAAAGCTCATAACAAGGCAAATAAAATAAAAAATAATAATACACAGGATGTTCCTTTAAAAAATACACAAGTTGAGTCATATTTTCCAAAAAAAATAGCACCCAGCGAAAAACTAGTTACGCCACTGGATTCCACGTAAAAACTCTATGGGACTCAATTTTCACCTTTTTGGTAAGCTATAAGATAACCAAGATACAAGGGGGGTTGAAAAATGCAACATTTTCAAATTCGCCCTGTATTTCAGAAACCAAGGGGGCTAGGACAAATGTGGACAAGTGTAGAATCATAAAATCATAGTGTAGTTTCATAAAAAAGTAGCGTATAGTGATGGGAAAAACGCGTGTTTGTATATTCATGAACCAGAAACTCCATAAAACACACATAAATGGGGCACCCTGTATTGTGTACTTCTTCTTTTTTGGATATTTTACAGTAAATTGAAAAATTTAAAGCCACTGACTAAAAACGTATATTTTATATACAAAAATACGCCTATGAAGAAAATTTGAAAATTTTGAAATTTTAGTTAGAAAATCATATTTTGATAATATGGCAACAAAGAATATAGATTAATCTTGCAAGAAAGAAAACCCAGAAAAGATACAGTGGTTCAAAAAATTTATTTTTAAAATTTTCTCGGTTATTTTGGACTTATTTGAAAAACGGTAAAGAGAAAATATTTTTCTTTTATCGAGATCTACCAATCCTGAAAATATTTGCACTTATTTCTTATCCACCCAGTATATTCAAAGGTGTTATATAATATATTATTTTTAATATTAGTACAATGATCTCCTAATTATGAACATTTTTAAACAATAATGAATCTAACCAATTCTCAAGTGATGGGCTAACCGAGGAACAGGAACTTTTAATTTTTATTAAATTAACAGACGCTGTTTTCGTTAAGGTCAATTAAACGAAGATACAAGGTTTTTCTGGGAGATACTATAAATAAATGTTTGTGTTTGTATTGGTATATAATTATTTATTTAATTTAGCTTTTTGTTTAGAGTTACACTATCGGACAAAATTAGAGAAACTTTTTAAAATTGTGTCTTTTTTGTTAACGCAGGGACTGAGGCCATTTTATGCATTGTTAAAATGAAAGATACTTAAATAGTTCTCATTTAATTGATATAATCACATGTCTCACGAAAACTTAGTTAAATAAAAAACTATAGAGACAAAAATAGAGAAACTAAAAATTAATATAAAAATTACAAGTACATAGTTGTTGCTAACCTAATAAAATTAATAATGGGTAGAGTAACCGTGATTAGCTAGCTATAACTCCACGACATCGCTTTGACATGGAGTCCAATAGTTTCTTATGGTATCTGGTTCAATGGAATTCCATGCCTCTTTCAAAATTTTTATCAAATCTTTCTTATTGCTAATGTGACTTCGTGTTACCCGGCGATCTAGTTCCTCCCACAGGTTTTCAATGGGGTTAAGGTCTGGACTTCGGGCAGGAATGTCCATAACCCCAATTTGTTCAGACAAAAACCATTCTTGTAAGACTTTCAATTTATGCTTTGGATCATTATCTTGCTGAAATATCCAGGTTAAAGACAAATTATCATCAGCAAACGGAATCATCACTTTCTTTAAGATGTCCAAATACATAAATCGATCCATTGTTCCTTCTATTACATGCAGTGGTCCCAAGCCATAGACCGAGAAGCATCCCCACACCATGCAAGATCCACCACCGTGCTGTACAGTGGCCTTGGGATACTTTGGATCAAATCTTTTCCCTTCTGGGCGATGTCTCTACAATATGCTATCGGATTCAAATATATTAAATTTGCTTTCATCTGAAAACAGGACATTTTTCCAGTCATTCGTCGACCAGTGCAAATATTTTTTGCAAAGGTAAGTCGGGCCTTCTGGTTCTTCCTACTTGGCTGCTCTTCTGCTAAATAATCCTGCTTCCCTTAGCCTTCTTTGGTTAGTCTTAAAGCTTATATTATTGACACCAGGTAGTTCACTCAAAATTTGATTTGCCGATTTATGCGGATTAGTTAAGGCGATTTTTTTAATTATCATTTCAATTTTTTTCGTTGTTTTCCTTGGCCGACCACTTGTTTTAATAGTCTTTAAGGAATTGCGAGTTTTCAAATTGGAAATCGTTTTGCTAATGACAAACTTATGCAAATTAAACATTGTGCTTATGTCCATTTGCCGTTCATCATTCCGATGTGCGTTGATTATTTTTTCGCGAAGATCCTTAGACAAATATTTTCCGCGTGGTAGGTATATTTAGTAAAAATGTTAGTCAGAATATCAACAGTTTTCACCTTAAGCAAATAACTACCTACTAAGTATGATCAATTTTTGTGTTGGTTTCTTTATTTATGTCCCTTCAAAAATATTTGTGTCCATATTATAAATAAACACCTGATAAGATAAATTTGGAATGTGGCGAAATATCCGTGATGATATTAATATTTAGTATATTTTTTTCTCATAAAATCTATCCGTCAAACACCTAGTATAAAATTGTCTTGCATGCTATCACCGTAGCAAGCCCTCAATTTTTTTTTATTTTTAGCAACTTACCTCTATCACGCATTAGGGTCTACGTGACGAGCAAAATTTACAAAAAAAAAACGTTTTTCGCAGTTTTAACCCTACATAGACTGAATGAATTGGATGTTTTCATAAACCAACCATTAATTACCCTTCTGAATAATATAGGGGAGCGTTTTTTACCCTACGGGGGCGTATTAATTTTATTTTGTTCCACGCCCACGTTTTGTTTAAAACAGAATTAAACCACTGCGTAGTTCATTAAAAACATAAAAAAGCGGAAATTAATTTATTATTCAGCTTTGGTAAAATATGTCTGGGATTTTCAGACAGAAGAGTCGCTAATTTGAGGTGATTTATTCGAAAAGAGATGAATAAAGGAGATATAATAAATACACTAAGCCAAAAAGAATAATGAAGAAAATTAATATAATCTTGTTTTTAAAATTTGACTTGATGACGTCGTTGGTGTAGGTTGAGGATCTTCAAGCAAACAGAAAAAGAGTGTTAAATTAATAAATATCTTTCTTGGAGGGATTCCTATTGTAAAAATAAGATTCATTTTTTTTTCCATAGTAACTGTTAAAATTGACTTATATCTATCAAAAATAGTAGATAAAATAGTACTTTAACAGCGAGGATACGTTAAAAACTTTATTTCTTCTCGCACGTGTTTTAATTGCTTCCATTTTGAAAATTTTTGTATTCCTTTACATAAGTTATTCGGGATTTAAATGGAAGTAGTTTGGATATGGCGTTTGTCGCCTCAGCCTGAATATCTGTTGGTAATTTACTTATTTCGTTTTGAGCCACTTCTGGCCCAAGCCAATCAGCAATCGACACGAAAGGGAATTAAAAAATATTGACTCAAAACTGACAACTAAAGAGACAGCTTTATTTATTTGTCAAATTACATAGAAACCAACGCCAACCCAGCACAATATTTTTTTCTACTCGTAATAAATTCCTTGAAATAATAATTTCTGAATATTTTTTTAAAACGTAACGTAGGGAAAGTCATCGATCGTCATTTCCAAGCCAACTGGACGCCGTTTTTTTTGCGATCATACTGTAAAATCTCACTGAGATAATGATGAAAACAGATGAAGCAATACAAGAATAGATCTTTATAAATAATGATTTATTGTAATATTAAATAAAATAAACATATAAACTGGTTACAGAAACAAATAATATTATATACATATTAGTACATAAAACTACAAAATAACAGAGTTTTAGTAGACACTAAACAGCACTGCTTCTTTAGCTTGAAGTGGTTGACTTGTATTAAATGCATCCCTGAAATGAAAGTAACATTGTATTATCACAACTACCAAATAAGTACTGTATTTATTATTTTTACCCAACGTTGTATATACTGTTAGTGCTTCTAACTAACACATTCGTCGTGAAATTGTAAACGTTGATATTCTCCGGAGTTTGCGGTTCATCACCAACATTGTACAGAAACACATAATTCTGGAGAAATTGTTCTGTAAATCTCTGAAAACCTAATATATCTCCTGCATTAGATAGCTCAAAATAATGATTGCTCTCATTTTTAAATGCTTTTCTTAAACTTAGTAAATCCTTGTAAACCTTGTAGTGACTGTTTACACCGGGACCGGTGACATTCTGATTCTGTAAGTTAGTCTGTAGGTATTTTTGACTAACTGGTAGCCAGGGTTTAGTGCCATTGTTGAAACCTAAAGAAAAAGCTTGTTTTTATTATGCACATTATTGTGTGTTTAGCATCTTTAGTTCAATAAAAAAGTAGCTTAGTGATGTAAAAACCGCATCTTTGTATCTCTACTAGTGATGTGAATACCGGTTTCACATGAGTCGCGTTACAATAGTGACCGTTCTAGAAAAATACCGCGATTTTGTAACCGAAGTTCCGATTTCCAAAGTGTTGCGGTCCTCGCTAAAAATATGTCTAACTTATCTATATTTGTAGATTAATGTAACTTTTATCCGCCACTCATTTTCCAAATATCGAGTTTATAATTGTGTATAGCCAATCTATCTCATTTTTAGAAAAACGATGACATTCCTTGTTATTTTTTTTTCTTTATCAATTTTCGTTTAAATAAAACGAACCGCTCATATTTATGTGTATTGCAATATAATATATTTAATGTTAAAATCAAGAACAAAGTCCAAACCACTGTCAAAAAAAACTGTTTATTGGTCTAACCTAACCTTAAAAATAGATATAAACAATGAAACTTAAATAAATAATGTATAAAAGCAAATAAAATATTTTTATTTTATTTTATTTGCTTTTGCGTTTCATTTTTCAAACAACATTATTTTATACCATGCCTAGTACATACCAAAAATCGCTATTTCGAAAGTAACGTAGTGACGGGAGCACCAACCCCAATAGTAACCGACCAAATCGCGACAGGCAAAACCGAAACCGAAATAGCGCTCCAGCGACTGCTGGAACGAAGTACGTGGCCGCCGAGGTCGAGCGTCGATAATCAGTTACAGCAGTTACTTCTGTTCGCGACAGGGAACTAAAACTCTAGGAGCGCGACGGCTGGAGCGAAGTAGGTCGCCGCCGAGGTCGAGCGTCGATGCCCAGTTACAGCAGTTACTTCTGTTCGCGACAGGGAACTACAACTCTAGGAGCGCGACGGCGGGAGCGAACACGTCCCGATCAAGATCGCGCGGCGCTACGGACATACCAGTTCCAGTTACTACTGTAGGCGCCCGACGAAATCGCGACGGCTTGAGCTAAACACGTAGCTATGCGGTTACTACGGTTCGAGCTAACTTCAAGTGCGATTATAAATAATTTATTTGCAAATTATAAATAATTTATAATTTTGTCGTCATTATGATCGTTGTTCTTCAGTAACAGGTTCCTGATTCGTTGTGGAACGCGACACGACGTTACAAAAAAATATCGCTCCAAAATCGCGTTACTCAAATACCGGCACATCACTAATCTCTACTCATAAACGAGAAACCCCATAAAACACACAACTGGCAGCACCGGCAGAGAATGCACCAACCCTATACAGGGTTTTTATTTTTTTCCATTGACCTTCATGGGATTTCTCTGACAGAACTGGTTTAAAATCTAATGCCTAGATTTGATTTCATTCGATTTTTTACCTGCGTTCACAGTACTGTCCCACTGTATCGGTGTCCGTTCAAAATCTCTGCTAGTTTCATTGAAAGTACTGCAATTTTTAATAGCTTGCGGGTCGTACCCTTCTGCGCAAGTCACTTCTCCATTTTCCTGCCCAATTTCCTCACCATTGTAAGTTACTTGAACTCCAGGTAGAATGGAAACCAACATGTTTAAAGCGTCTATATTTTCCGGACCAAATCGTGTGGAAACTCTGTTCTGGTCGTGATTACCCAACTAAAAAGCATTCGCATTGATTTGTTTTATCAAAATAATGCTTAAAAGCGCAGAGAAATGAGTAAATATAGAGATGCTCTAGCATATAGTGTCACAAAAAATGATCGTATCATGTAGATTTTTTTTTAAATTTGTTTAGGTAATATTTTATTAATACACTCGCCGTCACGAAAAACGGACACCTTAAAATTTTGATGTATTTTAAAGTTTAATATATTTTGTTCTAGTGGGCCGATTTTGAAGATTTTTTCAGCAATTTGTAGTTAAATTATTTGACTTTTTAGTGTGTCTTCTCTTGGACTTGCAATCAATCGACTGGCTCGTGAAGGATCTGGCCGCTAAGGGTGCCCTAAGATTAAGGGAATCCAATCTGTGGAATCAGACCAACTACTGTCACTCGAGGATATTGCCAGTGATAGGGAAAATCATGGTGAACACGAGTCCACATCTGTTAGACCAAAAAACGGACTATATGCTCACCAAACATGATTTTGGAGAAAAGATAAGGATTCGCATACCGACAAGAGAAGAATAGAAAAGCAACCGAGTAATGAACACTCAAGAGATAGCAGTCTACACAGATGCTTCCGCAACTTCAGGGGGCACAGGTATACTTATCTTCTCAGAGGAACTAGACATCCGACGATCTTTGAGGCTATCGGATGGCTACAAGCAGAGGTTTACGCCATAAAGAAAGCGGCTAGTTGTATACGAGAGAAAATTGCTGATAGACCAATAGGGGATATAGTGATATATTCTGACAGCTTGGCCGCTTTAAGAAGCATCACCATACAATCAGTGAGATCGAAAACTGTGATGGAATGCCAAGAAGCACTGTCCTGGCTGCGTCAGGGCGGGGCTACTCTGTGCTGGGTGCCAGGTCACAGCAATGTGGTGGGCAATCAGGAAGCAGACAGACGGGGCAAAACGGGGCTAGGGGAAAGGCCGTGGCAGATGACCCACCACTTGTGACGAGCAACACACTGAAGGAAGCCATAGGAACTGCCATCAAGGCCAAGCAGCAAGAGACGTGACAACACCGTGAGGACTGCACTACAGATCGAAGACTATGGCCAGTGGTAGATAGCAAAAGGACAAAACAACTACTAGAGCACAAAAAGGACCTAGTACGCATAATTATAGGTGTCGTCACTAGCAACTGTCCCACGGGGGTAAACCTCGTGAGATGGAAAGTTTCCGACGACGACTACGGCAGAGAATGCGGAGAGGAAGAAGAAACCATAGAGCACCTGCTGTGCCACTGTCCGGCACTGGAATACCGATGCTTTAAAACTTTAGGGCAAGGTTTTTTGGAGGGACTAGAGGAAGCAGCAGAAGCCAACATCAGCGACATCGGGAACTTTGCAAAGAGCTGGATGCAAGAAACGCAAACGCTTTAACGCAAAGAAAGAATGAGAGGAAGGTTTGGTAAACCAATACAGGAGTACCGCAATGGGCCCAAGGCCTCCGAGTGTGGGATCAAACATGATCCCAAACCCCATCAACCTAACCTAACCTAACCTACTCTCTTCTTCAAAAACGAATATCTCCAAAAAGAATAAAGCTATTGAGATGAATCAAAAAACAAGCTATAGAGAAAATACGTACCTAGATGATAAAATTATTTTAAATTCCTTGCTTTGTTAACGTACTCCACAGGGTGTTTCAAACTTTCACCAAAATATCAACATTTTATTTTCCTTCGTATATGTGACAAATGGCAACTTTGATTTTTAATTCGGAAAAAGACACTAAAAAGTTAAATCATTTAGCTACAAATTGTTTAAAAAATAACACAATATATAAGACAATTTTAAGGTGACTGTTTTTCGAGGCGGTGAGTGTATATTTTATTTTACTTATTTCTCTGATCATAACTTCTAAAGAGTATACTATAAAATAATTTACCACCCAGTTCGAGGTGTACCCTTCAGGCATATGATCAATCCAGTTCCAGATAGAGTTCAAAAGATCAACGCCACTAAAACCCTTCTGAAGACCGGTGATAAAAGTCCAGAAATTGAAAGTGAAGTGGGCACCTAACCTGGACCTATCCGCTGTGCCAAAATATAGCATGGTAGTGTTGATATCGCTGTAGACCTCGGTCATGAGTACGCGAGGGTACGACTGATTCGCGTTATACTCGTCCAGAAATTCCCGAAATTGGTAGATCATATCGAGGGTTTCGTTTTGGTTCTCCGTGTATATGTGGCTTAAGTATGTGTAGTCGCCTGGTTCGGCGGTTGGGTCTCCTTTAAACAAAAACAGGTCATAAACATTTTTATTTCTTACTGAATTATAAGATTACATAAGCTTATGTCGCTTTGGTTAGGCTAACCATAAATAGAAAGTCATAATATGGTCATAACTCCCTTGGGGCTTTAATAACGCCGTATTAAGATGCCATAATTCCCTCTACCCTTTATAGGTAATAACCATGAAATACAATAGATTTTGAGTAATAATATAAAATGAAAATGGAGACTCATCTAACTACGTACTCTAATAATTGATTTACATCATGTCAAAAAATCCTATATGGACATTTCGCCACTGCAAAAAAATCTACAAAATAAAATAGTTATTTATTATAAACACTTCTGCGTTATTCCCAAACGGAAACTACTTGTCAGAAGTTAGATTTACAGATATACAAATTTGCCTAACGAACAAAAAAATGCTCAACGTTTCGGAAAGTTTATCTCTTTCCATCTTCAGAAAAAAATACAAAGAATAAACAAAAAAACTATTTAGAATATTTAAATTCAACTATTCGAGAACACTTTAGTTTTTTAAAACAGATACGTTTACAAAAACCGTTGACGTTCTGTTAAAATGACATTATATCCAAGTTAAACTTCAAAATTAACAATTACTACCTGATAACAATTACTTAGTAAGGTAAAACCAAAAAGCCCCAAACTTTCTGTATCATTATTTTTAATTTTTACGTATGTTATGTTTATTTATGTTATGTTCTTTAAAATCAGGGCCGTTCCTGGCGAGCGTGCAGTGCGTGCACGCACGTAGGCACAACATTTTGGGGGCGCAAAATCGAGGGGCCAATCAGTACTTTGTAACAAAAAACCGATACGCTTTCTTGCCAATAAACAAATACTTAAACACAGGATAAAGTTTGCTTAGCGTCTTTTTGGCGATGGCCGTACCGAATAAACAAGTCTAGGGCAATCTGTCAGCAACATATTGATCTCATTTATTTATTTTTCATTTTATTCATTTTATGGAAAGCACTGTTCATTAAAATGTTGTATCCTATGTTATAGAACGCGTTTCTCCTTACAATTTCTGTCTCACAATGTACCGTTTGTGTCGGGGAAGGGATCATAGTTTCACAGTTATCGATTTTCGAAAAAAATCAGTACATGTATATTATTTCGTATATTTTTCATTTTATTGATTTTATGGAAAGTTCATTAAAATGTTGTATCCTATGTTATAGGGCATGTTTCTCTCTACAATTTCCTGTCTCACAATGTACCGTTTGTGTCGGGGAAGGGATCATAGTTTTATAGTTGTCGATTTTCGAAAGAAATCAGTACATGTATATTATTTCGTATATTTTTCATTTTATTGATTGTATGGAAAGCACTGTTCATTAAAATGTTGAATCCTATGTAATAGGACTTGTTTCTCTCTACAATTTCCTGTCTCACAATGTACCGTTTGTGTCCGGGAAGGGATCATAGTTTCATAGTTGTCGATTTTCGAAAGAAATCAGTACATGTATATTATTTCGTATATTATTCATTTTATTGATTTTATGGAAAGCACTGTTCATTAAAATGTTGTATCCTATGTTAAAGGGATTGTTTCTCTCTACAATTTCCTGTCTCACAATGTACCGTTTGTGTCCGGGAAGGGTTCATAGTTTCATAGTTGTCGGTTTTCGAAAGAAATTAGTACATGTATATTATTTCGTATATTTTTATTATATTGATTTTATGGAAAGCACTGTTCATTAAAATGTTGTATCCTATGTTGTGCCTATGTTATAGGGCTTGTTTCTCTCTACAATTTCCTGTTTCACAATGTACCGTTTGTGTCGGGGAAGGGATCATAGTTTCATAGTTGTCGATTTTCGAAAGAAATCAGTACATGTATATTATTTCGTATATTTTTCATTTTATTGATTTTATGGAAAGCACTGTTCATTAAAATGTTGTATCCTATGTTATAGGGCTTGTTTCTCTCTACAATTTCCTGTCTCACAATGTACCGTTTGTGTCGGGGAAGGGATCATAATTTCATAGTTGTCGATTTTCGAAAGAAATCAATACATGTATATTATTTCGTATATTATTCATTTTATTGATTTTATGGAAAGCACTGTTCATTAAAATGTTGTATCCTATGTTAAAGGGATTGTTTCTCTCTACAATTTCCTGTCTCACAATGTACCGTTTGTGTCCGGGAAGGGTTCATAGTTTCATAGTTGTCGATTTTCGAAAGAAATCAGTACATGTATATTATTTCGTATATTATTCATTTTATTGATTTTATGGAAAGCACTGTTCATTAAAATGTTGTATCCTATGTTAAAGGGATTGTTTCTCTCTACAATTTCCTGTCTCACAATGTACCGTTTGTGTCCGGGAAGTGTTCATAGTTTCATAGTTGTCGATTTTCGAAAGAAATCAGTACATGTATATTATTTCGTATATTATTCATTTTATTGATTTTATGGAAAGCACTGTTCATTAAAATGTTGTATCCTATGTTAAAGGGATTGTTTCTCTCTACAATTTCCTGTCTCACAATGTACCGTTTGTGTCCGGGAAGGGTTCATAGTTTCGAAAGAAATCAGTACATGTATATTATTTCGTATATTATTCATTTTATTGATTTTATGGAAAGCACTGTTCATTAAAATGTTGTATCCTATGTTAAAGGGATTGTTTCTCTCTACAATTTCCTGTCTCACAATGTACCGTTTGTGTCCGGGAAGGGTTCATAGTTTCATAGTTGTCGGTTTTCGAAAGAAATCAGTACATGTATATTATTTCGTATATTTTTATTATATTGATTTTATGGAAAGCACTGTTCATTAAAATGTTGTATCCTATGTTGTGCCTATGTTATAGGGCTTGTTTCTCTCTACAATTTCCTGTTTCACAATGTACCGTTTGTGTCGGGGAAGGGATCATAGTTTCATAGTTGTCGATTTTCGAAAGAAATCAGTACATGTATATTATTTCGTATATTTTTCATTTTATTGATTTTATGGAAAGCACTGTTCATTAAAATGTTGTATCCTATGTTATAGGGCTTGTTTCTCTCGGTTCATAGTTTCATAGTTGTCGGTTTTCGAAAGAAATCAGTACATGTATATTATTTCGTATATTTTTATTATATTGATTTTATGGAAAGCACTGTTCATTAAAATGTTGTATCCTATGTTGTGCCTATGTTATAGGGCTTGTTTCTCTCTACAATTTCCTGTCTCACAATGTACCGTTTGTGTCGGGGAAGGGATCATAGTTTCATAGTTGTCTATTTTCGAAAGAAATTAGTACATGTATATTATTTCCGATTTTTAGTTTATTGTTTTTATGTATTTCATTTAAAATGACTAAATATTTTTGTGGTTTTGTTTGTTTTATTTATTTAATAAATGTTTTTATACTTTAATTAGAATAGTTTTTTTACATGATGTTTTTAACTAAAAACTAAATAAAAGTTTTTCAAAAAACTCATAATCGTGTTTCTGGGGTCAAAATATACTATCGCTAAAAATAATTGCACTTATTTAAGACTCGTCCTGTATATCCTTTCAAAAAATCGATTTTATTATTTTTGATTGAAACTAATGGTTGAAATTTGCAAAATCTGAAAAAAGAAAATCTCTCGAAAAACACAAATAGTGAAATGATTATGTACCCTCTATGGATAGAACCCCTACCTATGGTCCCATATAAACTGTATTACTAAAATAAATAGCTCTGACATATAAAGTTTTCAATTGAATATTTGAAGTTTTCAATTGTCGCTTTTCTTGATATACTCCCCTGATTTTTTTTATTTTTCAAGAGCACTAATACACTCTATATACGTTATTTTTTATTCCTGGGATGATTTGAAGATGAAATATTTCGTTCATATTATTGATGTCACTAAATGAACCCTTGTATAAAATGTTATACTTCTAGATGTTATAGTAATGCATTTTCGTTCAGCAAACTTTCATTCTCTATTCTACTCCCTAAGGGTATGAATGCTTTGTCCAAATAATTAACTCGTGTATTTTAAATGATCCTTTGTGCAAATTTTTATGTGTATAATCCAGAGGTCACGAAGGTTTATATACATTTTTACTAACTTTACCCATTTGGTTGATGAATTTCAAAAATCTCTTCCAATTCTTTCTGTAGAATTTCATTCTTCTAGACCAGATAGTAAGGAATTTTCATAAAATAAATTGTTCGACATAGTTTCACACTCTAAGAGGATGAATTTTCTAAAATCGCTTTACGTAGCTAATTCACTAATCACTAATGTCATTTAAACGAACCTTTGTGCTAATATTTATGTATCTAAAGCTGGCGGTATGAACTGACCCCTAAGATATCTAAAAACTTGATATACTCTTATATCTAACTGACACACCACTGACAATGACAAATAATCTATCTCTGGAGGTATTGTGTGTAGGTGTTTTTTATTCGTTTTACATAAAAAAATAGCGATTAAACGATATAAAAATACTTCATAACAAATCTAGACATATATACCTTTCATTTAAAAAAAGAATCATCAAGAAAGTGAAGCGGTTTGGGCGGGATGGATGTAACAAAAAAAACCCTTTGAGCTTTTATATATGTATGGATAATTCCACTAACGTTCGTAATGTTCTAATTATTGCAAATACCTGATAATGGCTCATCTTGAAACCTAGAATCTTCAAATAAAGCATACGCGACATCCATTCTGAAGCCATCAACACCAAAATCCAACCAATACCTTAAAACATCCTTCATTTCTTTCACTACATCCGGATTTCGGTAGTTTAAGTCAGGTTGAGCAATCGAAAACTTGTGAAGGTAGTACTGCTGTCTTTGTTCACTCCATTCCCAAGCAGTTCCTTTAAACTCACTCACCTAGAAATATATTTTATCCCAGTAAAAAAAAATTAATGATATTTTTATTGGTCTATGGTACCCAGTTATTTGGTGCCGATCTTGTTCCATTGACGATCACAGCGTCTTTCCAGACATAAAAGTCTTCGTATCCAGATTCCTTGTTTAATGAGGCCTGGAACCATTTGTGTTGATCGCTGGTATGATTGGGCACGTAATCTAAAATTACTTTGATGCCACGTTTGTGAGCTTCTTCAACTAGTTGTTTTAAGTCATCCAGACTACCGTACATCTCATCTAAGTTGTGTAAAATATATTTTAGCTATTGCCGAGATAGTTATAGAATTCATTATTTATATTTTACAAGAAGTAGTCAAATTATTTTTACAAAACAGTTGTAAAATTCAACCATTTTTATTGATACGTATATACAGGGTGTTTCAAGGCGATGGTAGGTAGACATTTATGGAGAACCGGTGCTTAAAGGCACCTGCTACATCTGCCTAAATTAGTTTCAGCGTTACAGTGTTGCCGCTTCATATTTTTTTTTGAAGAGATGAATCCGTCACCGAGGTATAATGGTGCGTTCAGACTTGAGCACGCACGCACTGATCCTCCGCGAATGCTCAAGTGTAAACGGCTGTGTGCGCACGCTCACTCTGAATCTGTGCGCGAGCAGCCGCGAACGTGAGCCGTCTGGTGTCGGTTTTTGGTCCGTGCTCAAAGGGATTTTATGTGTGCGCGAACGATCAATTTGGACCGGCAATTTGTTTTATCTGCATTTGTGCGTGCGTGTGTGATTTTTTTTCGTTTTCTTTATTAAAATTATGGAGTGGATCAATGAATCTTCGTTATTATTAATTGAAAAATATGAAAAGTTGCCTATATTATTGGATGTTAGACATTCTTTGTATTATTAAAAAATCAAAAAAAAATATAACGCATGGCAAAACTTTGTAAAGAAAATTAATATTGAATATGTCGATATTAATGAAATTGCTATTCTAAAATTTGTATCTTTTGTTCGTAATTTTTGGTGTTATTAAATTTTGTAAATATTTAAAGTCGGGCCTGGTTATCCTTGTAAAGTTTTCGTTGTTTATTCGAAACATTTATTTTTAACTTTAATAAAATGATATCCCTATATTTTTCCGATGTGTGTATTAGAAATAGGTATAGTTTAGTATAACGTAATAAAGAAAAATTATGAGATATGAAATTAGTTTCCAAAAATATAATAATACACACACTGTTCCATTAAAAAAAAATTGATACCACTTTTCAAAACATGCACGAACATTGTAATGCTGAAAATAATTTAGACAAATGGAGCAGCTGCCTTTATGTAAAAATAAAGTATCAAAAAAATCCTATAACCGGTTCTCCGTAAAAGTTTAACATACCATTGCTGTGAATCATCCTACACATATAAAGCATACCTATATCACGATAGTCTGATATATCATAGCCGTTATCAACCTGAGGAGACTTAAATATCGGAGACAGCCATATTGCATCTATACCAGTCGTCTGGATGAAATCCAACTTTTGAATAATTCCTAAAAGTTAATTTTGGTCATCGTCTTAATACGAACTATCTAAATATATTTGATATCAATCAAACTTTCAGTTACGTAATCGAGGGCACGATTTTTAAATTCATTGTTGCCAACCATGGACATATTCCGTGCTGACTAACTGGAATTTAAATTTCGCGCTGGGGATTCAGGTGGTAGCTCTGCTGTAAAAAATATCAAGTTGCAGCATTTATTTATTTGTTTCCTGACATTGTCATTCGATTTGACACTTCAGTTTTGTATAACGAGTTTTTGGTTTAAATAAATAGTGTTGTGATGCTTTACGCTTGAAAATGTTTACACTAGCAGTCATTGCAGTCGAACATTGTTCTTTTTAGAACCTCTTTTAGTGTGAAGTGGTACAAGATAGTGCAAAAAGCGGCAGTAGTGGCCGTTTAAGTCTCTTAAGTGTTGTTAAGAAGGTGAGTTTTGTTAATGTAAATAATAACTGTTTATATATTTGTAATTAATTTATTTTTGTTTTCTAAAATATTTTTATTAAAAGAAAATATATAAAAGTGGGCAACGCAGCACAGTGTAACAAAATCGGGAAATGCGGGACATTAGCCCAAAAAACAAAAAAATTAATTCATCAAGTTTTTTATATAGATGGATAAAGGACATACCAGAGCCCCACCATGTGAGATATTTCTTGAGTTGACCTCTTAGTCGGGGAGTTATGGCGGGTTAAAGTTATGGTTTCCTGAATTTACCAAATCTGTACAAAAATTTCATACAATGAAATTTATTATTTTCAGAAGTTTCCTTGTGTTGTTCAATTCCATCAATTTTTTCCGTCTTTTACAACAATCCTGAAAAAAATGTCCCAATTTTTTTCAAGTCTAGTTTCTACATGTTTATTGTGACTTTCAAAAAAACGCTTACATTCGCGCAAGGTTATATATACAAAATATCATAGAGTCAACCTTCTAGTATACTGTTATATATAAATTTCATCCACATAGATCCGAACCTAGAAGAAAAAAATAAATTTCTTCGGCAATAATTACGTTCTCCATTGATTCGACCGTAGTTTTTATCTGTAATTTTTTGTGCTATAATTTTTTTATTGAAAAAGCTATACGCTTGCTATGAACATACTGAATGCTATTTTAGGGGCGAGGAACCATCCTCACATTGGGGTGGGGGACAGTTTACAACAATTCAGAAAATCTCAACATTGGAGAAAAATTACTCAAGAGAATATTTTTTCAAACCGGCAAAATTTTCTTCGATGTATTTAACGTTTTCTTATACCCTCTTCCTCACAAAATTCGCGAACCGCTAAAGTGCGATGGGGAAGAGCATTATCGTCCATGTAAACAATTCATCCTCCACTGCCCCACGAAATGGACACACAGTAGGCTCTAAAACGTCTCTGAGATATGAGGCAGCTGTCATTGTGCCATCAATAAAAACAAGGGGAGTTCGAGCTTCGTGCATTATACCTGCCCATACCATAATGCTTCCCCCTTGAAATGGGCCACGGGATTGAGCTGCATTCAAGTGTGCTCGTCTTCCAGATGCTCTCCAGACCAAAGTTCGTCGCGAGGCTGAATCACTAAACATGACGAAATTCCAATTAGGTCCATTTGCTCTCATCTCCTCAGCCCATTGTAGTCGCGTAATTTTGTGCTGTAAATTAAGTTTCGGAACACGTAGAGGCCTCCTTAAATGTAATCCTCTGTCATGGAGTCTTCTTGCTATGGTCTTTCTTGAAACATTTACTCCTTCAAGTTCAAGGCGAGCTAACAATAGCAGCACTAGAAAGCAGGGGATTGCGTCGTGCAATTAGGGATATTTGACGGTCTTGCACAGCAGTAGTAACTCTCTTTCTACCTCTTCCAGGCCCGTCTGTAACCTCGTTTGTCTCCCTGAATTATTTTAATATTCGCGAAACATCGCTTTTGTTAACTCCTACAATGTCAGCTATTGCAACTTGCCTGTAGCCCTGTTGAGACAGTGTTACTATTCTGACTCTATTAAACTGTGAAATAATGTTTCTAGGCATTTTAAGGCCAAAACAATGGTCAAATTTCTTCTGAAACCCAAGAGACCACAAATCGAAATGTGCAAGAATTTGTAATAATATCAGGTCTGAACGATAAACATTGTTTACCATATCCATTTTAACAAAAAAATGTTTATTACAGATTATCAAAGCTATGTATAAAAAAAGATACTTTAAATTCCTTTCTGTATATTTTTAAACGATATATGCAATAATTTTGGGCATGTGTGTATTCTATACATATTTCATACACAATTCATATACCTTCAAGAACTGTTTAGGAGATATGAAGTGGCCTTGTTTTTCATAAGAGCCGTCTTATGCTTGGGGGAAAACACTGTAACCTCTAAGGTCTATTGAGTTTGTCCTCTTTTTATTGTTGAGGTGGCATTTAATGTCATAGGTCCTGCTAAAAGACCTTTTGTTTCCACTTAATATGGCTTTAGCACATTGTTGCCTCACTGCAGGACAGTAGTTGTCAGTAATACAGTGGTTTGAATTTTGTTAACCGCATATCAGAAAGATGGTTTATTTAACAAGATTCTACAAAATAATAATTCTACAGAATATTGGATATGGAGATAACACACAGACAAAAATGGCAGTTGCCTGCTTATATCATTAAAGATTCTAACTTTAATACAAACTTTCACACAAAAATCAGTTGTTAATGCAATAATTAATATATTAATAATAACAAATTGGATATTATGCTTGAGTTTGGGAAAAATCCACACGGTTTTTGTGTACAAACAGCCTCAATGTCCGATGATAGCTCTTGCTCTTCATCGATTACTCAAGCATTAAATCAAATGAAGATTTGTTCTTATAAATGATAGGAAAGGATATCATGGAAGATTACTTAAAACACTAATATATGCTTTGTTTCAAGTAATCAATTGATTTAAACCGTCAATTGATTACTTTAAACTTATAAAATAGTGACTTTTTGTCCATTTCTAAAATCGACTATAAGAAATTCAAAACACTTGGCTCTACCTGTGTGGATACTTATGTTATTTATGAGAAAATTACTGATTCTTTCTCACACTGAAACTGTTTTTTATATCAATTTACTTATGGAAGAAAATCAATCATATTCAAATCTAAAATGTCACCTTATCTAAAGAAGAAAGCATTCGACAAATGTGTACTACCAGTCATAACCTAGGCATGCGAAAGACCGAGACACTTAAAAGGAAACTGCAGGTCGCACAACGCTCAATGGAACGAAATAGGTTGGAAATAACTAAAAAAATCGTAAAAGAATAGAGTGGATACGACCAAAGATCCCGGTAATAGATTTCATCCACAGAATCAAATCCCTCAAGTGGCAAAAATTACAGCATGGTACCCACAAGGAATTAAGAGACTTGGCCAAACCTGAGATGGGACCATGATATTAGGACATTAGTATGGATATTTTGGGACCACTTAGCCAACAATAGACAACAATGAGCACAACTACAAAGAGAGTATCTAAATATGTGAGGAAGGCTACACCATAATTGGGAATGGTTGAATAAGTTGAATAAGTTGCAAATGATGATGATGATATCAATTTAACATATCCCAAGTTCTTCTGTTCTATTTCAGTACTGATTTTATAACAAGCCAGCTTTTGAATTATATCAAAGGGGAACTAAAGCCACACTTGACAGCAAAAAAATGAATAATAGTGTATAAGTTTTACGATAATAGATATTTATGATACAAGTGAGTTAATAGCAGCATTATGATCCGTGTGTGAAAGTTGCACCAGTGCGTAGCACGAGTTGTGTAACCACACAAGTATCTTAGTGGAGTTAACTCGCGTGTATTGTACAATATTTTATCTACGTCTAACTATAAAAACACAGGATGTATTTTAAAAATGATTGTACTTAACTATATACCTATCCTAAAAATCAATAATTACCTTAATACCTTTGTTCAAATAACATCATGCATGGCAATGTCAATATGACAGTAAATAATATTGATGTCACTAGTTTAAAAAATGAGCGATTCGGAAATATTCCCTCTGACATTGAAGAAGAGGCATTCAGAGCAATTTCTGGATTGCTTGCAGCAAGATCGAAGCAGAAGTATGAATATACATAGTCTAAGTATGAAAAAGGGTGCACCGAAAAAAAAGTACACAACAATGGAAATGAAAAGGTACTCATAACATATTTTTCCAATTTAGTGCAAAATAAAAATGTTTTACAAAATATTTTTTTCTCTTTGGAAGTCATCTAAACAAGGAGTACGGTAATGAAAATGTGTGAGTTAAGAAGCTCTTAACTCACTCAAAATGCGTCAGTTAAGAGCTTCTTAACTCACTGACGTAGATTAAGAAATTATATTGTTGGTTTTGTTAGTATTAAATAAATTATTATAAACAAACAATAAGGGAAAGGCTGTAAAACTCTTTATTTACAATTTAAATAACAGATACATCTTAAATTCATCTTCATTGCATTCATAAGTCCAATTTCAACAGTACTGCTTCTCTGGCTTGAAGTGATCCATTGTAGTCAAAAACATCACTATAAAATACAGAAAATTAATGTAAAACAAATTCAATTATATCATAATTTAAGTGTTACAAGTTAATTGTGATACGAATGACAAAGAATTGCAAATATATATATTTCTTTTTTATGTTAATGTCTTAACTGCTCATAACAAATACATTGTACGTAAATGTATCTATACAATGTGCATAATAGCGTTTTTAATAATGATTGTATAGTATTTACTCTATCTCTTTCTTACCCGATGCTATAAGCGCTGTTATTGCTCCTTATAATTACTGTCGCAGTAGCATTTATCGATAAAGGCACAGGATCCATAACTTCATCTCCAACATTGTAGTATAAAGCATAGTAATTATCAGTGTCGAACAAAAATCTTTGAGCCACAAATAAGTTTCCTATGGAGGTAAAAGATACGAAATATCCAGTTTGATTTCTGAAGCTCTGTCTTAAATCTATCGTTTGCTTGTAGATATTGTAGTGACTGTTTACTGTAGTAACGTTTTCGTCAGCTAGATTGGTTTGTAAGTATTTCTGACTCACTGGTAACCAAGTTTCAGCACCCTCATTAAATCCTGAGTAAAATAAAGCATGAAAGACAACACAGGGAAACGATCGAGTGATTTAGATTTACCTGCATTTATTGACGAATCCCACTGGAAAGGTGTTCGTTGGAAGTCCCTGCTCGTTTGGTTAAAGGTACTGCAGTTTTTGATAGCTTGTGGATCGTAGCCTTGCTCGCAAGTTACTTCTCCATTCTCCTGACCAATTTCTTCACCGTTGTAAGTTACTTGAACTCCAGGTAATATAGAGACTAGTATGTTTAAAGCATCGATATTTTCAGGTCCTAACCTGGTTGAAACCCTGGTTTGGTCGTGGTTTCCTAACTAGAACAAGTTTATGTGTTTAATTTGGAAGGATAAATATGATATATAATGTTCATTTACCACCCAGTTGGAAGTATAACTAGACGGGATATGTCTCAACCAGTTAATAATCGAATCTTGTAAGTCAAAAGTGCTATAACCCTTCTGAAGACCCGTGATAAAGGTTATGAAGTTGAATGTGAAATGAGCTCCCTTTCTAGATCCATCTTCAGTGCCGTAGTAGAGCATGGTAGTGTTGATATCGCTGTAGACCTCGGTCATCATAACTCGAGGATATGACTGGTTGGCGTTGTATTCGTCCAAGAGCTCTCTGAATTGGTAGATTAAGTCAATAGTTTCGTTTTGGTTGGCCGTGTAAATGTGATCCAAATATCCGTAATCTTCAGGACCAGAGTTCGGGTCTCCTGCAATAGTTTTTATAATACAATCTCTGAGTTTTATTAAACTGATGGTTCTAACCTGAAAGAGGTTCATCCCTAAACTCGGCGTCTTCGAAAATAGTGAATACTGCGTCCATTCTGAAGCCATCAATACCAAAATTCAACCAGTATCTTAAAACGTCTTTCATTTCATTCACTACAGCTGGATTACGGTAGTTTAAGTCAGGTTGAGCGATAGAAAATTGGTGAAGGTAGTACTGTTGTCTTTCTTCACTCCACTCCCAAGCAGATCCTTTAAATTCGCTAATCTTAAAAGTAACGATACTTTAGTTTTGATATCTTAAAGTATGCATCTGGATATTAATATTATTTAGTATTTGTGAGATAATATACCCAGTTGTTTGGTGGAGTTCTGGTTCCGTTGACAATAACTGCGTCCTTCCAGACATAGTAGTCAGCGTATCCAGATTCGTTTTTCAAAGAGGCTTGGAACCATGCGTGTTGATCACTGGTGTGATTGGGAACGTAATCCAGGATCACTTTGATGTCGCGTTTGTGAGCCTCATCAACTAGTTGTCTCAAGTCATCCAGAGTACCAAAGATCTCATCTAGAGTTGCATGAAATATATTTTAAGGAAATTCTGGACAGTTCCAGAATTGAACACAACCGCCATATTTATTTTTATCTAACTAATAGATGTAAAATTAGAAGTTTTCGGGAAAAACAAGAATAAGTTTTGTATTAATTATTTGAGATGTATAAAGTCAAATAAAATATGTTTTAGAAAAGTGTTAACCAAGAGCAAAATGTAAATTAAATATCATAAAGTTATGTAGCTGCTTATTAAAATTTATTTCAGTTGAAAATAAAAATTGTGGTTGTATTATTAAATAATCAAAATACCACATACCAACATCACGATAATCTGAGATATCGTAACCATTATCAACTTGTGGGGACTTATAAATTGGCGAGAGCCATACAGCATCCACACCCACATCTTGAATGTGATCCAGCTTTTGGATTATTCCTAAAAATTATTATAACCCTTCCAAACTCTTCTACTGCTGAATAAATATATGTTTTCTCTAAAAAAACTAATTTTACCTTGAATATCACCGCTCCCATCGTTGTTACTGTCTTTAAAGCTTCGGGGATAGATCTGGTAAAACACAGAAGTTTCCCACCATTCACCAAAAAGTCCAAGATTGGATGTTGCCTCTTTTTGGACTGTATTAGTTACTTTAACAGTGTTACCGAAGACGGTAGTGATGAACACCACAAATATTGAACACTTTAGCAACATCATTGTGGATCCGGTGATACACCAGTGATAAGTGGCTTGATGGCATCCGATGTTATATACCTTTTATCTCGAAGATTAGAAAAAATTTTGAGTGGTTGACAAATAATAAACAAAATTTAATTGGTACCGGGTATTTCTTAATTATTTTAGTTATTTGGAAGATTTATTAAATGATATACAGTGATATTGTACTAATATACAGCGCGATAATATAAAAAATACGTCAAAGTAGAAGTACGATCTAGTTCTTTCTAATACTCTTTGTATAAAAAAGATTAATGAAGTATAATGTCATCCATATATTGATGCATTAGAAATGGACTCAATATAACGAATCCCCCATTTTTGACAGTACTATATGGCCTTTCAATGGACATATTTGAATTTTATTCAAAATATTACCGGATTTACGGTGTTACTGTGAACTTATAGTCTGTCTAGAAAGTATCCGGAATTTTATATTTTTCCTAATTTTAATGTATTTTTTTTTCTTAACACCCTAAGACAACAGTAATCCATCACGTAGGTTGTGCCGATAGTAGGCTATGACCAAGATGGCATGGCAACACCATTTGTCAAATATTGTTGATTGTAAACCGGCTTGAGATTTGAGAAATAATGTCGCAAGTAAAAAAAAGATAAATGGTGGAATATTAATTTGTATAGAAAAGGTGTTCGAAACGTTAAAAATTAGTGCAATTGACTGAACTCGGAAAAAGTGCAGTATATGAGACAATAAACAGGATAAAAAATGGCACAGATATGAAGGATGGACCAGTTTGAGGAAGACCGCGTAAGATTCGCGAAAACAATTTAAACGCTTTAGTGACATTAGGACGACAGAATCCGCGTCTAGGATTTCGCAAATAGGCTAACAGATTCGGAAGTCAGCAAAAATTAAAAGTGTGTCCAGAAACTGTCCGCATATCTCTGAAAAGAAAAGGCTACATATCAAGGAAGCCAAAAAAAATCCCTGCCATAACACCTCTACAAAGGCAGCGAAGAATAGATTTTTGTCAACGTTTTCAAGAAGATAATTTTAATAATGTTTTTATTTCTGACAAAAGTTGTTTCCAAAAATTCTATCAAAAGAAAATGTTACCGTTCAAGTTTCAAAATTTCCCACTAAAATAATGGTTTGGGGAGCAATATCTCAGCGTGGTGCTACACCTCTGTGTATAGTTGATGGAACTGTTAATACTGCAAAATATTGTGATATTTTAAATGGGTTTCTTCTTGAAACGGCTCATGTTAAGCTTGGATGCAAAAACACCATTTGGCAACAATTCCATAGCCAGCAGTTTCACCAGACCTAGTCCCATTGAAAACATATGGCGACTAATGAAGATTGAAGTGGAACGAGCAGCTCCACGAAATAAACAAGATTTGATTCGCTCAGTTTTACAGGCCTGGACTACCGCCACTGAACATTATGATGTGGGCCTAGTTTCGGATGTACCTGGACGTTTAGTTAAGTGTTTGGAGTTAAATCGAGGTTGTATAAGTAAATAGAATTAATAATTTATTATAATTTTTTTAACTCAAGTCCTAAAAATATACACACACCGGAAAAATCTAGGGATATCATTTTATTAAAGTTAAAAATAAATGTTTTGAATAAACAACCACATATTTGTAGGCCGATTCTTTCTACTTCGATTGAAACGAAGTAGTCACACTAGTTATTTCTAAATTTGGGATATTTGCAGAAGTGTTTGTTCATTTTATGTCAAACGTTTAAAAAGCACCTAGCATCAATTGTTCGAATTTAACCTGTACTGGCTATGTTTTTATAATAACTGGCCAGAATTCATTCAAATAACTTTGTTTAGTATTAAACAACATTATGGAGCGTAGACACCTTAACAGAGACGAAATGCTAAGGGCCATGGGTATGCTCGAAGCTGGAATGCGCCAAATCGACGTAGCTAGAGCATTAAATACAACGCAAAGTGTAATATCGCGATTAAGTGCACGCTACCGTGAAAGTGGTGATGTTGCTGAAAGGCACACAGGGCGATATCGCATTACTACCCCTCAGCAAGATCATTTTTTACAATTAAATGCTCGACGCCGACCGACTCTTACAGCACCAGTGCTTAGTTTAATTCTCCAGGAAACACATAATGTAATCGTTACTCCTGACACTGTTCGCAATAGATTAAGAGAGGTCAACTTAAGAAGCAGACGCCCCTGGAGAGCTCAACCCTTAACGAGAGGAAATCGAGAGGTACGATATTTGTGGGCTCAAGATCATGTTCAGTGGTCGAATGAACAATGGGCCAATATTCTCTTCATGGATGAGTGACGCTTTGAAATTCATCCGGATTCGAGAAGGCTTAGGGTATGGAGAGAACCGGGAAATCTTTTTCGGCTGGATCATGTTCAGGAAGTGCACCCTTATCAAGGTGGAACAGTTATGGTCTGGGGAGGAGTCCAGTTAGGCCGAAAAACCGATCTCGTTTTTCTTGAAAAGTTTCTAACAGGAATCACATATCGTGATTTAATTCTTGAGCCTGTCGTGTTACCATATGCCAATGATTTTGGGAGAAACTTCATTCTCATGCATGACAATGCACGGCCTCATACAGCCAGAGTGGTAAGTGAGTTTATCAATGCTCATCAATTAAACATCTTACCCTGTCCGGCACAATCTCCTAACCTCAGCCTCATCGAGCACGTATGGGACGCGGTCCAAAGAAGAATTTTGAGAATGGGTATGCCTCGTGAAACTCGTAGGGATCTGGTTCGGACCGTGAATGCAGGCTGTACAAGAAGAGATCGACAACCTGATCAGGAGCATGGAGAGACGATGTAGGGCTGTAATGAACAGTAGAGGAGGCCATACCCTTTATTAAGTAAAAATTGTTTTATCTTTTTTTTTAATTCACAGTTTAGAATAAAAAAAATGTCTGTATTTTTTGAGTTCAATAAAAATCAAGGTAAATTTGAAAAATTCGGTAAATTTCGCATTTTTATTTCCAATACGTCCTATAAACTATTTGTTTATTTTAATTTTATTATATCAGAAATGCAAAAAATAAAATTACTGACGATGGCTGGATAACATTGTAATATCCCTAGACTTTTCCGGTGTGTTTATATCGATAATTGTAATTTTGCTTTCATTTTTCCGGATACTTTCTAGACGGACTATATTTTATGTTCTTTATTATTGGAACTCAAAAATCTGGAATGGGAACCTTTAACGGTCTAAGACACTCGTAGAAATTCCTCAAAATTTACGACAGAGAAAAAATTACAGATTTTCCTAGATTTAAGTAAGAACAATCTTCGGATTGTTACGCGGTTTTTAATGTCTCCTCAACGATCACCTCAGTAGATTGAAGCTAAGAAACAACGGCGAATGCAGATTCTGTAGGGAAAATGGGAAAACACCAGAACAACTCTTGTACATCTGATATCGAAGATGGGGAACTATTTTGTGTGATGCCGTCTCAAATACTGGCTTTTATCAAAGCCCTGGAACTCTATGATGAGACTCGTTATAACTCAAAAAACGTGGACACACAATAGATCTGTAAGGTCGCGGTGATTAAGCCCCTCCCAATCATTGTACACTTCATTCTGAATAATTGTTTATTTAAAGGAAAGAGAAGTACAATTTAATTATTTCTTCGTTTCATTCATAAGTCCATTAATACAAGTACTGCCTCCTTAGGTTGAAGTTCTCCAGTGTAGTTAAAAATATCTCTAGAAAACCAAATAATTTAATTCAAAATTAAAATGATTGTAATATTATTTTTTGCGAGAAACTCGCAAATCTCTTTCTAACTTTTATTTAAGAATTTTTATTTTTTGCATTATAAGACTATTTCAATAGTAGAATAGCTATTTATGTAACAATAAGTTGCGAAATGATTGTGTTTTAAGCACTGGATGCAAAATTTTCAATGCGTCGTGTGCTTAAAACAATCTTTTCGCAACGAATTACATACAAGATTTTTTATGAAAGCGGATATTTTGAGATTTTTATGTTATTATTATTATTTATTTTTAAAGATTTTTTAAAATGTTCTTCATTGCCGTATTTCCTACAAAGTTTTGTGAAAAAATTAGTGAAAAAAAATTAGTGTCCAAGAAGTCGAAAAGCTTATACGAGACCACCTTTTTGAAACTTGGGTCAAAGAAAAACATGTTGAGAATTTCACAGAAAAGGTATTGCTAGCCTATTTCCTAAAGTTATTCACTACCTTAAAGCCGTCAACTCTGTGGAGTAAATATTCGATGCTCCGCACCATGATTTACCTGAACGGAAACGTAGATATTAGCAAATTCACAAACCTTATTGCCTTTTTTAAAAGACAAGCTTCCGAATATCAGGCAAAGAAATCAAAAGTATTTACGAAACTGGAAATAGAACGCTTTATGAAAGAAGCCGATGACAAAGAATTCCAGTTAGCTAAAGTTGTCTTAATCGTTGGAGTATTTGGAGCATGTAGGTGGGAAGAAATCACGTTTTTGACCGTAGATGCCATTAAAGATTGTCAATCATTTATTAGTGTGGAGATTCCGAATACAAAAACTCATTTTCCAAGAGTGTTTACGATTACTGAGGTACCAATAGATGGTATCAATTTCTTACATGTATTTCGTAAGTACGCAAAACTTCGACCACTCAATGTGACACATCAGCGATTTTTCTTAATGTATCGAAAAAATCAATGCTGTATCCTGCCAGTTGGAATCAATACAATTGGAGGTATTCCAAAAAAGAAAGCGGAATTTCTTGGACTCTCCAACGCCATTGAATCCACTGGTCATTGTTTCCGGTGCAGCTCTGCAACAATGCTGGCAGATTCAGGAGCGCAGTTTTAAAGCGACATGGAGGTTGGCGATCAAGCAAGGTTGCTGAAGGTTACATTGAAAATTCAATTGAACAGAAAACCGAAATAGCAAAAAGAATCATGGGACAGACAGAAAGATACGCCAAATAAGAAATTAAAAGCAGTTCACGTAGAAGCAGAAGCTACCAGCATTGCCAGTACAAGAAACTGACTTATTCCGACTCCTACAACTTGCATTTCTCTTAGAGACGAAAAGTTGGATGCCTCTTGTATTCACTTTAATATATTGTTAAGGTCAAGGTGTATTACTGGTTGCATAACCGCAACGGTGCATTGAGGAACCTGGCGAATTCGACAGAAAGTAGACCCACGGAATCCGTAACAATATATAAATTCGGGTCAGAACGTCCTACGACGTTGTCCGATGCCTAACTTCCACCCTGTGCGATTTTCCCATTGATCTTCGGTCAGATTTTTCTCGCTCATCGCCTTCTTATTCCTTCCATCCATGTTTTCTTGGGACGTCCTCTCTTTCGTTTACCAGGTGGTATCCAATGAATGACTTGTTTTGGAATTCTTTCATTGTGCATTCTCTGAACGTGGCCGTACCATATTAATTGTTTTTGTTCTATATCCCATCTGTTGTCTAATGTCTTCATTTCTGATCTTATCCCTCCGTGAAATTCTCATTGCTCTTCTAATCGCGTCCATTTCTGTTGTCTCTAATTTCCTTTTGTTCCTTTCAGTGAGTCGCCATGTTTCACATCCATAGAGTAATATGCTTTTAACTAGTGTCTCGTATATATTATATTTTCTGTTTTTTGTAATTTCAGTGCTCCATACCAATACCATTTATGCATCTGATAACTCTTCGTGCCTGTAGTACTCTGTTGTTTATTTCTCTATCGTCCGTTCCATTTCCTGTAAATATCGATTCCAGGTACCTGTAATCTTCACATGCCCTAATTTCCATATTATTTTCTAAAATAAGATTTTCTGTATTAGCTCCAATTGGAAGGTATTTTGTTTTTTCTGTATTTACTGTGAGACCCCATTTAGCATATTCTTCAATTATTTTCCGCACCATATATTCCATGTCATCTTTGTCGTTTGCAGTTATGGCCTGGTCGTCTGCAAATTGCAAGGTGTATAGGCATATGTCATTTAGTTCTATACCCATTCCGTTACATTTTCTTTTCCATATATGTAAGGCCTTGGCAATATAAATTTTAAATAGTGTTGGAGATATACAGCAACCCTGTCGGAGCCCTTTAGTGATAGAAATTTCCTCTGAGAGACCGTTGACCGTTTTTATTTGTGATTTTCCTCCATGGTAAAGATTTTGTACAGCTTTTATCAGAGCTGCGTTAATTCTTGATTTGTGCAATACTTCCCATAATTTTATTATTGGCACTGTATCATATGCTTTTTGTAGATCGATGAATGTTATATAAACTTCTTGGTTCATTGCAGATTTCTTCTCGATGATCTGTTTCAATGCAAAGATATTATCTGTACATGATCTTCCGCTTGTGAAACCATTCTGCTCTTCTTCTTCGTAGCTGGAGTATTCCTCTTCAATTAAGTTCCTCAGTATCCTTCCATAGAGGCGACTCATAGTGCTTACGACCGAAATTCCCCTGTAGTTATTGGGATCCTTCCTTGAGCCCTTTTTATATATAGGAGATATATGCTTTTTTCCACTGTTCAAGTACTGGATGACCATTTAAGCACTGGTTAACTATGTTTGTTAACATTCTAAACAGTTTTTTGCTTCCAGATTTTAAGAGTTCCGCATATACTCCCTCTGGGCCACATGCTCTTCCATTCTTTAAAGACATTATATCGGTCTTTATTTTGTTGGTATCCACGTAGTTTCCTCTCCTTCAATGTTTATTTCTGGCTGTGGCGGTTCTTGATACTCAGGTCTGTTCTCTGACAACTTATTTCACTTTAATAATTTAAATAATTGTACGTTTAAGAATTATAATAAATAAATATTTTCATTGTTTCTAACGTTTCATTTTTTACTTTTAGGGACTAGTGCCTAAACATGTGTGACTTTTAGATACTAGTTGCCTAAAAGAATGTCATTTCGAACCTCAAATAAATATCAAAAACTTTCAAAAAAAAAACGCTTTCACAAAAAAACTATTTTTGTATCTTACCCTATGTTATAGGCACTGTTATTGCTCCTTATAACAACTGTTGAGTTCGCAGCTACGTTAAAAGTCGATGGACTTAAAACTTCATCGCCTACGTTGTAGAAAAATGCATAAATATCTGAGTTATATAAAAATCTTTGAAGAACAAAGAGGTTTTCTACGGAAGAAAAAGATAGGACATAGTCAGTGTCATTTCTGAAGCTCTGTCTTAATTCCACTGTTTGTTTGTAGATGTTGTAATGACTGTTTATATCAGTAAGGTTTTGGTTCTCTAGATTCGTCTGTAGGTACTTTTGGCTCACTGGTAACCAAGGTTCAGCACCCTCATTAAATCCTGAGAAAAATAAATGATTAAAGACCTAATCACCTAATCAATTAATGTTTATTGGGTTGGGTTTTACCTGCATTTACTGTTGAGTCCCACTGAAAAGGAGTTCTTTCAAAGTCTCTGCTCGTTTGGTTAAAAGTACTGCAGTTTTTAATAGCTTGTGGATCGTATCCTTGCTCGCAAGTTACTTCTCCATTCTCCTGGCCGATTTCTTCACCATTGTAAGTTATTTGAACTCCAGGCAATATAGAAACTAGTATATTTAAAGCATCGACGTTTTCAGGTCCTAACCTGGTGGAAACTCTGGTCTGGTCGTGGTTTCCTAACTAGAGTTCGTTATGGGTTTAATTTTTAAAAGACATTCGTGAATTATGACGTTTAATTACCACCCAGTTGGAAATATACCCATATGGGATATTTAGCAGCCAGTTCATTATAGAGTTCTCCAAGTCATACGAGCTAAATCCCTTCTGAAGACCCATGATAAAAGTCCAGAAGTTGAAGGTGAAATGGGCACCTTTCCTGGATCCATCTTTTGTTCCGTAGTACAGCATGGTAGTGTTGATATCGCTATAGACCTCGGTCATCATAATACGAGGATATGACTGGTTGGCGTTGTATTCATCCAAAAGCTCTCTGAATTCGTAGATTAATTCAATAGTTTCGTTTAAATCAACCGTGTAAATGTGAATCAAATATCCAGAATCTTCAGGACCCGAGTTTGGGTCTCCTGAAATACATTTTTTTTAAGGAAGACTTTATCATCCTGTTTGGTGATTCTAACCTGACAGAGGCTCATCTCTGAACTCTGCGTCTTCAAATAAAGTTGGTACTGCGTCCATTCTGAATCCATCGATACCAAAATTCAACCAGTATCTTAAAACGTCTTTCATTTCATCCACAACAGCTGGATTACGGTAGTTTAAGTCAGGTTGAGCGACAGAAAATTGGTGAAGATAGTACTGTTGTCTTTCTTCACTCCATTCCCAAGCAGATCCTTTAAATTGGCTAATCTTAAAAAAGCAACGATACTTCATCTTAGTCTTGGTATCTTAAAGTATGCATCTAATATTAACATTATTTATTATTTGTGGTAATATACCCAGTTATTTGGTGGAGTTCTGGTTCCATTGACTATAACAGCGTCTTTCCAGACATAGTAGTCAGCGTATACAGATTCGTTTTTCAAAGAGGCTTGGAACCATGCGTGTTGATCACTGGTGTGATTGGGAACGTAATCTAGGATCACCTTGATGTCACGTTTGTGAGCTTCGTCAACTAGTTGTCTCAAGTCATCCAGAGTTCCATAGATTTCATCTGAGGTTATTTAAAATGTATTTTAATTCCAGAATTAAACACAACTGCATATTTATATTTATTAATAAATGATCAAACCAATAGAGGTAAAGTTAAAAGTTTTGAGAAAAATCAAGAAAATCTTGTAATAGTTTTCTGAAAGCTATATATCAAATAAATATATTTTAGAAAAAATAACTAAGAAAAACAGAATTAAATATTACAAAGCATTAATAAGAAAAAATATAGATGCTTATTAATAGTTATTTGATTTGAAACTAAAAATTGGAGATGTATTAAAAAATAATCGAAATGATCACATACCAACATCACGATAATCTGAAATGTCATAACCATTATCCACTTGTGGGGATTTATAAATTGGTGAGAGCCATACAGCATCTACACCTGCATCTTGAATGTGATCCAGTTTTTGGATTATTCCTAAATCATGTTATAACGTGTTTAAATGCTTTTTTGCTGAATAATCATTTTTTTTTCTCTAAAAAATACAAATTTTACCTTGTAGATCACCATTCCCATCGTTATTACTGTCTTTAAAGCTTCTGGGGTAAATCTGGTAAAACACAGATGTTTCCCACCAATCGCCAGAAGATTCATTGCCAGCGAATCCTTCTCTTTTGATTGTGTTAGTTATTTTAGAAATGTTAGCAAACGCGGCACTGCAGAAGACCGCAAATATTAAAAACCTTAACAACATCATTGTAGAGGTTTGATGATACGAAATGATAAGTTGCTTGATGTAGGTATTCTACTGTTTATACACTTTTTATCTCAAAGATTAAAAAAATCTTGAGTGGTAGATAAAAAACAAATACTTTTTAAACGATATCGAGTATATAGTTTTTCCTTATTACAAAGATATTTAAGATGTTTCAAATATTTATATTATTATAACCAGTGGCAATGGCAAACAGCCATTTATAACTTAAAAAATGGCAGAAATGTATATTTTTTTCACTCAGTGGTGTAATACAGGTAAGGACGAAAAGTTATTACTTTTCAAAACAGTCAAAAATTCATGTAGGTGTCATCACTGATTCCCGGATTTATCCGTTCTCGATATCTGATTTTGTGGATTTTTGAAATATGAAATATATCGTGGCAACTACAATAATGTCGAACACCTAGAAAAAGCTTTAATAACGCAAGCTAATAATACAAGCATTTAAGGTGCGTCCAGACCGGCTGCGCCGCTCTGCGCAAATCATTTTTTTAACGTATACTTTTGTGGGCGCTAAAAAAATACACTTCAAAAGTTCATGTTAAAAAAATATTCTGCGCGGCGCGGCGCAGAGCGGCGCAGCCGGTCTGTACGCACCTTTAGATATTTGCAAACCCATCCTGTTATAATAAATCCTGTTATAAAAAAAATAAAAATATATTCGGAGATTCAGTGCTAACAGTTCAAAAGTAAAATATATCAATTCCAAATAAAATTTTAATATGTGTATATCTGTTTTAGTATATACCATTTTGATTATTTTGTTATTTATCATGACGTACTAATAAAAAAATGATGTATTTTAAATACTGCAGTAAATGGTGAAAATAAATATAGAGTGATATATATTTTTGAGAAGCTCATAGCAAGACGGATTATATCATTTATAAATATACAGGGTGTTCCATTTGAAAAAAAAAAACATAACTTTAGTTCATATTCTCAAAAATATTTTTTTTGTAGAAAAACAGACTACGCCACTGTATTCTACGTAAAAAGTTCTACAAGAATCAGTTTCCACCTTCTCGATATCATCCACAATATACAGGGTTGTTCACCACATACGACACGGAGTATTGTAGCTAAACGATGAGATTTTTACAAATTGTAAGTTTGGGGTTCGTTGAAGGACTATTAGAGCTACAATTTAAAAATATTTTTACAAGATACAGAGTGTCCCAAATAAATAAAAAATATCAAAGTTGTATTTTTTTAAATGGAACACCCTGTATATTATTACATTTTTAGTTTCTACGATTAAAATAAAGGTAAATTTGATTAATGTTTATTATGCTTAAACCTTACCGTTTTTGAAATATTTTCAATTGTGTGAAATTGCAGTAAAAATTTTAAAGCTTCATTTCTCCAAGTGTATCAATGTTTTTAATACTAAATATTTAATTAAGTTTATTTATTGATCAGTTATTGTGTTGCAATAATAAAAATAATACTACCTTATACAGAGTGTCTAAAAATTTATTTTATATAATTATTAGCTTCAAACGGCAATAACTTCTTTAATTTAAATGGAATGTCCTGTATATTTTAGGAGAATCAGATGCACAATTAAATTGTCTATCAAATTGTATTATACCATTTTTTACCTATCCCTTCAAGTTTTCGTAGAAAATGCATTTTCTTATAATTTAGACCTCATTTATCAATATATCCATGGAATATTGACATTTTAGATTGTTTTTAAAGCAACAAATGTACAGACTAGTAATATTATCGTTTTTAGCAAAACGATAATATTACTAGCCCATTTGTATGCAAAAATAAAACTATTTAAATCTTTATAAAAGAGTATACCATTAATTAAATATAACACCATTATTTCCGCCCATATACTAATTAATTACATACTTAATTGTGTTCATTAATAAATTATTATAAATAAATGTGGATTTGAGTCAGAAATCAATATAATAATAAGTTATCAAATTAAAGTGTCTGTTGTTATAAATAAGCATTTATTCAAAAATGAAATATCATTTTTAAGGTGTTACTTTTTATCACATTGTCTAATGCCCATACAAAATTCAGTTTTTTAGTATTTGGAGCAATTATTATTAATCAACGCAAACAGTCAGTTAATGTAGTTTGAATACTGGAATCATATTAATTGATCCTCTTTAACAAATATTTAAACAGTTTTTTTCTTATTTTTTAATGAAATAAACGAATTATATCGACAATATTAGTATCTGTACTCTTTAAAAATTTGGTACATCTTTAAAACTAATCTGAAATGTCAATAGTCCATGTGTATATTGATAAATAAGTTCTAAATTACAAGAAAATGCATTTTCTACGGAAACTTAAAGAGATAGGTAAAAAATGGTATAATATAATTTGATAGACAATTAAATTGTGCATCTGATTCTCGTAAAATATACAGGGTGTTCTATTTAAATTAAACAAGTTATTGCCGTTTGAAGCTAATAATTATTTAAAATAAATTTTTAGACACTGTATAAGGTAGTATTATTTTATTATTGCAACACAATAACTGATCAGTAAATAAACTTCAGTAAATATTTAGTATTAAAACCTTGGAGAAAATGAAGCCTTAAAATTTTTACTGCAATTTCACAAAATTGAAAATATTTCAAAAACGGTAAGTTTTAAGTATAATAAACCTTAATCAAATTTACCTTTATTTTAATCGTAGAAACTAAAATGTAATAATATAAGGTGTTCCATTTAAAAAATACAACTTTGATATTTTTTACTTATTTGGGACACTCTGTATCTTATAAAATTATTTTTAAATTATACCTCTAATAGTCCTTCATCGAACCCAAAACTTACAATTTGTAAAAATCTCATCGTTTAGCTACAATACTCCGTGTCTTATGTGGTGAACAACCCTGTATAGAGAGATGGACCAATAATATATGGAGATAAGGGGCATGGCCACCAAATTGCAAAATTTTCGAAAAGACCCTGTAGCTCAGAAACGAAGAGGGCTATGAAAATTTTGTTTACAGCATCTTGACAAAATTATCTTATAGCCATCTTATCTGATAGTCAAGCAGCGTTAAAGGCGATCAACTCAGTATCAATCAATTCGAAATTGGTCAAAGAATGCATAGAGAAGCTGAATAAATTAGGCAAAGAAAACAAAGTCCTCCTACACTGGGTGCCTGCTCACCAAGGGATAGAAGGCAATGAAAAAGCAAATAATCTAGCTAGGAAAGGAGCGAACACTCCACTAACTGGACCAGAACCGTTCTGCTTTCCAAGTGGTAACCAACTTAAGGGGGAACTCAAGAACTTGGAAGATTCCATCCGCAACCTGGAATGGAAATCTTGCAATGGTCTAAGACACTCGAAGAAGTTTCTGAGGGTTTATTATCAAGAAAAATCACAGATCTTCCTGGGTCTGAGTAAGAACAATCTTCGGATTGTCACGGGGTTTTTAACAGGACACTGTCTCCTCAATGAACACCGCAGTAGATTGAAACTAAGAAGAAACGGCGAATGCAGATTCTGTGGGGAAGATGGTGAAACACCAGTACACCTCATCACTGAGTGCGCCGAGACGACAACCATTCGTGCCATGAATTTTGGTACGACTGATATTGGAGATGGAGAACTACCCTCTATAAAACCGTCCCAGATACTGGCTTTTGTCAAAGCCCTGGGACTGTATGATGAGTTATGATTCAAGAAAGGGGGACACAATGGATCTGTAAGGTCGAAGTGATTAACCCCCCTCCCACTCATTCTAAAAAATTCTAATTCTTGACAAAAAACTGTGACAGGTTTGTGCAAACCGCATCCTCCTATCTTTACTAATAACGGAGATACCGTATGATTTCAACCAAAATGGGACATCCTGTACAATTCGGACCACCCTGTATAAGACGATTTAAAAAAAACATATAGTAAGATTGTTTTATTGTTTATTTTAAAATAAAACTGATGTTACATGTCAAAATTTTTCCTGTTCCATTTATGAACCCAGATGCACAAGTACTGCTTCTTGGGGCAGAAGGGTACCATTGTAGTTAAACAGATCCCTATAAAACCAAACGAATTAATAAAAAAATAAAATAATTATTTTTAGTATACAGGGTGTTTCAAAAAACATGTACCATCTCTCGTGGGGAGATACCTCACGTAAAAATAAGATTTATTTTTCCTATCAACATAGGTCCGATTCTGCTTTGTTTCGTAGCTACAGGGTGTTAGAGTCTTAATATTTTTTCCAGTTATTATAATTTTCATCCAAGCACTTTTACCGTTTCAAATGAAATTTTCAGGACACATTTGAAAACTTAAAAATTGTCGACATATTTACCAGGGACGTGCATATAGTTATCACTGGAATATTTTTCTGTAAAAAGCATATACGCCACTGACTTTTTTTTACTTTTCTTAGCGAAATCGTGTAAGCAATTTAATACCGATTAAAATTTGTCTCTTGATATCTTGTCGATTTCGGCCTCCTTTATGAGATAAACGGAATTTTATTAATTTGCCTTGATCAAAGTTTAAAAAAAAAATAATATCATTAACTTTTTTTGATTGAATAGTACTCATCGATTCATCATCAAGAAATATTACTTATTATTAAGTACTCATCGATTCATCATCAAGAAATATGAAAAAAAGTTCCTATGAAAATGGGTATAGAAATGCATAGTTTTAGAGTTACAGGATCTTAAAACTTTTCAAAATTAGTTTTTTTGTGTAATTATCTTAAATACCATTATTTTTTTACTTGAAATTGCTATAGATTGGAGTAATAGTAATAATAACTAATAGTAATAACATTTAATAATAAATTAGGTAAAATATATAATTTATTAATTTTATTTTGATTTTAATTTTATTAATTGTGATTTAATAATAAAATTGCGTTTATCTCATCAAGGAGGTCGAATTCGACAAAATATCAAGAGATAGCATTCAATTGGCATTAAACAATCTACACAATTTTAATATCAAAAGAAAAAGTCAGTGGCGCACATGTTTTATTTTTGAAAAATATTCCAGTGATAACCCATATGC